ATAGTTCCAAAGGATTAAAGACCCAATGTTCTTGGAAGAGCTTGGAGATTGTAGGATCATCATGAACCTCCTCATCAACTTGTACAACTTCCAGTGCAGTACCATAGGACACAACTAGATCCAATCTACACCTCCAGTTTCCATGGACGTCCCCTACCAGAAGGAGGACCTTGTTGCCAGCTACTACTTTGAAGTAGGAAGGTTGATCTCCCTGGATGGAAACAGAGTGTTTTAAGGAAGAATCCCATGGTCAACAGGACGCTATGGTTAGTTCAAAAGAAGAGAGTTTAGTGAGAAGATACAGTGCAATCGATCCATACAGCAATCAATATAGCAATCCATAAAGCAACCGAATAGTAACGGTGATCAATCAAAACACCAACAGTGATGAATCTACACTCAATACTTGCCATGGTCCCTCTTTACATCGAATTAGCTGCTAATACTAACTTAGTTCAATTGTTACAATACATGAATAATGAATTAGCATCAGCTCACTGTAATTTTCTGTATTTGCTGCTATTCCTGCGGTTGTTGCAGTATTTGCTGCTGTTGTTAGTCGACCGGCTTCTACGGAATTTCAGTAGAAGCCAGGTTTTATGTATCAAAAATGGGATTAGAAAGAGGGTTTGCATCATTCAACGGCTGTCATTGATCGGCAGCCACATACATTCTAATTACCTCAGTCCTAATAACTGGATGTTGATTTATAACGCATTGCTCTGTCTTAGTTTAATCAATATTCTTTATATGCATAGAATGTAATCCCACGTAAGTGTTTACGAAAGGTATGCATGAAAACCACAAATTGATAGGAACTGGTGGAACAAGTACCAGAGTCCACAGTGTATTGAACAAAAAAGAACTGTTGTTGCTGACTGCTGAAGCAAGCAACTACTACTACTAAGCTCATTTCATTCATTGCTTAGTGTAGTATCGTGTAAGCGTATTAGATTAGTTTAATCGTTGGTTAAAGTATGCCTGTTTCACCATCCACACCATGGGATTCAACATGGGATTCCTGACATTGTCTTGCAACGGATACATACGTACTGTATCGAAAGTATACATACGACACGAAGCTTGGAAGAAAGGAATGAAGGAGCATACCATTCCTACGTACCTATCATAAGGTACTGTTCATATGTATGTATCATAGGATCCATCTTAAGAGGTCTGAGGATTGTAAGAGGTCCAAGATACGAGGTACAAGATGCACAAGAATACCTCACGAAGAACAGAGATGTCACGAGTCCGGAATAGAAGAACCTTTGTGTAGATTCAGTACCTGATCTATATGACGATCTAATCGGAACTTCGGAATTCTCGTGAACACTCTTGGTAATCTTCGAATAATTCTAATCTTATAATTTTAATTTTCATACACACTTAAACATGATACTAAGAGTATACGTAATCTCGTGCACAGTAATTACTAACTGATTTTCGTGTATCAAAATTAATCATCCATCAAGAAAAACAACCAAAAATACCACATCGACCATGGTGAAATCAACCAACTCAAGCACAAACTCCTCTTCACGAAATCAAAACTCATATCAATCATGCCTTACCCTTGAGGATAAGTTCAAGGAGAGTGATATCAAAGAGACAAAAAGAAATAATCAAAAAAGAAAAGCCAAAAAGAAAAAGAAAACGTTGTACTTCCTTCACCAATTTACAGCTGAGCCCACCCAAAGGAGCAGCTGTGTGAATGCCTTCTTGAAGAAGACACTGATAATAAATCCTCTTACTCTGCAAACTCTGTAACCRCTGGTCATGAGGTCAAATACTGGGGTGTTGATGTGTCTGTCCATAACAAAAGACAGGAACAACAACAATGGTGCTGTTGCTTTCCGGCACGGAGGTCGGAAACAACAGCAATCGTGACCAGAAAGCTCTGGGGCTTCCGGTCCTTGAGAACTGGGGTTGGATCCAGCTGAGGCAGACTGTGCTCAACTGGAGTAATTGGGGTTGGTGTCATTGCATTCCGGCACGAATGTCAGAACCAACAACAACCTGACCGGAAAACTCTTCCGGTCCGTAAAATACTGGAACTGATACTGAAACTAACTGGGGTTGGTGCTGTTGGCTTCCGGCATGTATGTTGGAAACAACAGCAATCGTGACTGGAAACACAGGGGCTTCCAGTCCTTGAGAATCCCCTGGAGTAACTGGGGTTGGTGTTATTGCATTCCGGCATGAGTGCCGGAAGCAAGAACAACAACAACAACGTCGTGACCGGAGTCTTCTTCCGGTCCGTAAAATACTGGAACTGATACTGGAACGGCATGGAGATGCTGGGAATCTTCTTTAAAACTGAGTATGATGTAGCATATACTCCAAGCGTTGTTCTTCAAAGGAAAGGTCTTGGTTGAATACTGGAGGCTGGGGTTGGTGTTATTGCATTCCGACAGGAGTGTCGGAAACAACCACATTGTGACCAGAATCTTCTTCCGGTCCTTGAGAACTGGGGATGGATCCAGCTGAGGCATGCACTCAACTGGAGGAACTGGGGTTGGTGTTATTGCATTCCGGCACAAACATCTGAAACAACAACGTCGTGACCGGAATCTTCTTCCGGTCCGTAAAATACTGGAAAAGGAACTGCATGGAGATGCTGGGGAATCTTCTTGAAACTGAGTACGTCTGCTTTAAAACTGAGTATGATGTAGCATACTCCAGGCGTTGTTCTTCACTAGGTCTTGGTTGAATACTGGGGCTGGGGTTGGTGTTGTTGCTCTCCGGCACGGATGCCGGAAATAACAACAATCGTGACCGGAAAGCACTGGAGCATCCGGTCCTTGAGAGCTGGGGATGGATCCAGCTGAGTCAAAGGACTCAGCTGGAGTAACTGGGGTTGGTTGAATACTGGGGGATGGGGTTGGTGTGATTGCTTTCCAGCACGGATGCCGGAAACAACAACAACGACAACAACGTCGTGACCGGAATCTTCTTCCAGTTCGTAAAATACTGGAACTGCATGGAGATGCTGGGAATCTTCTTTAAACTGAGTATGATGTAGCATATACTCCAGGTGTTGTTCTTCAAAGGAAAGGTCTTGGTTGAATACTGAGGGCTGGGGTTGGTGTTGTTGCTGTCCGGCACGGGTGCCGGAAGCAACAACAACAACGTCGTGACCGGAGTCTTCTTCTGGTCCTTAAAATACTGGAACTGATACTGGAACTGCAAGGAGATGCTGGGACTCTTCTTTTAAACTGAGTATGATGTAGCATATACTCCAAGCGTTGTTCTTCAAAGGAAAGGTCTTGGTCAAATACTGGAGGCTGGGGTTGGCGTTATTGCATTCCGACAGGAGTGTCGGAAACAACAACAATCGTGACCGGAAGCACTGAGGCTTCCGGTCCTGGAGAACTGGAGAGAGATCCAGCTGAGGCATTGCACTCAACTGGGTTTAATTAGGACTGGAGTTAGTGTTATTGCTTTCCGGCATGGATGCCGGAAACAACAACGTCATGACCGGAATCTTCTTCCGGTCCGTAAAATACTGGAACTGATACTGGAACTGCATGGAGATGCCGGGAATCATCTTTAAAACTGAGTATGATGTAGCATATACTCCAGGCTGTGTTCTTCAAAGGAAAGGTCTTGGTTGAATACTGGAGGCTGGGGTTGGTGTTATTGCATTCCGACAGGAGTGTCGGAAACAACAACAATTGTGACCAGAATCTTCTTCTGGTCCTTAAAATACTGGAACTGCATGGAGATGCCGGGGAATCTGCTTGAAAACTGAGTATAATATATGATATAGCATATACTCCAGGCTTGTTCTTCACAAGGTCTTGGTTGAATACAGGGGGATGGGGTTGGTGTTAATGCATTCCGGCATGAATGCTGGAAACAACAACGTCGTGACCGGAATCTTCTTCCGGTCCGTAAAACACTGGAACTGCATGGAGATACTGGGGAATCTTCTTTAGAACTGAGTATGATGTAGTATATACTCCAGGGTTTGTTCCTCAAAGGATTGGTCTTGGTTGAATACTGGGGGCTGGGGTTGTTGTTGTTGCTCTCYGAYACGAATGCCRGAAACAACTTCAACACCRGAAGATACCATACGGTGCTTCTGGAGGAACAGGGGATGAATCCAGCTGGGGCAAACCACCACCAGCTGGGGGATATACTTAGAATAGGCTTGGTTACATTGCTTGGTTGCTTGAATGGAGCCAAGGAGGAGGATTTTCCCCTTCGGAAGGGGATGTCACCATGGTGGATTCGGAAGCCGGAAGGAGCTTGTCAGGTAGGAATGTACGTAGGAATCAGTAGGAAATCTAGGGGATAATTTTCATAAGCGAAGTGTAATTTCGTACGTTTGAAAAAATTCGATTTGAAAATTATAGGTCAACAGCGTCAAAGACGCCACCTTGATACCCCAAGACCATTACACATTTCACTACATGTAGATCTAATCACATTAGTCAAATCCTAATTTTGGCAAATACTACAAAAAGTCGAATACCCAACGATCTCTAGAATACCAGACCCCAGAAGTATTATCATACAGTACCATAGTACCAAGAGGCCCAGAAAGTCCCGTGGCAGCAATCCAGCAGAGCAGTACGGAAGAAGGAAAGACAAGGCTACTTCTAAAATTTTAGAATCCCGTGTAATTCTATACGGTTCAGTACGTAGTCCGCACAGGAGTTTTTCGGAATTCCGGTGACGGAGGACTCAGGGCCGTAAAGCAGTGTCGTCTCGCTCTAGGATTGAGGTAAGAGGGGTAGCAACTCCGTCAATGTGAGTGCTTTCTTTGTGGAGTGGTGGCTGATGAGCATAGGAGGCAGTTCTGGTGCTGTTGTTGCTCATAACCTGCAAAATGTATGTGTGCTCTTTAGTGTTGTATAACTACGTGTTTACAATAAAGAGTGAGCTTATTCACTATCTATCCGTGATTTAGGCTCACAACAATAACTCAGGCTAAGAGCAGTTAGGAACAACTACACTTAGTGGGCGTTAATTTTAGCTGTAATTTTACTGAAGTTAAACTCGTGCGTACATGTGAATGAGAGGGGCGAAACTGGATGTGGAAGTCAAAGAGGAGACAACTCAATCAGTTTCTTTTCCATGGTAATAACTTGAACAACAGTTTCCTCGCAAATGTCCCTGGTCTCGTGTCTGCGACTCAACACGATTGCAACTAGTCGGCGATGTTCTAGTCCGCATCATCTCCTCAAACAGGGGAAGAAGCCTGGAGTTCTATCGATGGCAATCGGACCAGCGCCATCGGGGCTTTCTTCGTCTTCAAGGATAACACTACGACGGAAGATGGAAATGACTGTGATGACAGGATTATGTTCGAAAAATGCCAGAACGCGTAGTTTCCTTTCCTTTAGCGAGATTTGCGGTCCTAGAGATGATTGTGTAAGATTCTTCAGTGCTCGGTCTCGTTTCAAACAAATTCCTGTCCACTCGTCGATTCTTCAGTACATAAGGCGGGTTGGGGTCGGCCGTGAAGGAAAGGAGAGTCGACGAAAGAAGCGACCATTTCAGAAGCACAAGAACAAAAACATAAGTATCAATATAATTGACAATGATCGTCGTGAGAAACAAATGGGAGAGCACTATAAAGATACGATGAGTCGAAAAGAGGAAAGGCAGTTCTTGGCAAATGGGAGAATAGTGCATCGTTCTGACACAGCCAATTCGTCTCCATCTAATGGGAACCAACAATGGCAAGGATGGCAACGATTATCACCACCCCCACCGTTTGGAGAGGGACAACAAAGACGAAAAAGCAAACCTGTTTCACGTATGACGCGACCTAATGGACAAAAAGAAACAGTGAGCGATGCTTGTATATCGACAGCAATGGCGAAACAGAAAGCACCCAATATTCGCGTTCTACCCGTGAAGATGATGGGGCGTGTGACCTCTTCTAGTCCCTTTTCCAGTGATGAGGGCGATCTCGAAAGTTATCATTTTCCAATACCGACATCGGGATTGACTGAAGTGGCAATTGTCGGAAGATCGAACGTTGGGAAGAGTACACTTGTAAACGCGTTGTTGTACTCCGGTCAACCGACGGCTGAACAAGAAAAGTCGGAAAATAAGCGACGAAAATCTACGAAAATCGTAACAACTCAGACAGCGAAGTTGCCTAAGGGACTGAAGGCAAAAACTTCGGCCAAGCCAGGTGAAACTCGCAGTATTGATTTTTATCAGCTGTCAGCGGAAATTGATGAAATCGGCTCCGTCAAACCTAGAGAGAAAGAAAACGACAGTCGGGAATCACTGAATAAGTATTCCAAGAATTCGGTAGGAAGGGGGAAGAGAAAAATGTCGTTGGTCCTGGTCGATTTGCCCGGATATGGATTTGCATTTGGTCCGAAGAAGGAAAAAAATATGGCCCACAGTAGTGGGGCTTCAACTAGCAACGGTTTTTTCAACCTCGCAACTGGTTCGTTGTTCTCATGGCAATCCTTGATAGAAACATACATTACATATCGACCAAGATCCTCCCTGAAGCGTGTTCTGCTTTTGATAGATGCCCGACATGGAATGAAACAGGCAGATTATCATTTTCTTGCATCGTTGCAGAAGGGTTTGCTGAAGCGGAAAAAAAAGTCGGCTACTTATAAATCCAATAAGCAACAGCATGTCCCTGACGAATTACCACCCCTACAAGTTGTGTTAACGAAATGTGATTTGGTCTCTCAGGTCGACCTTGCACGAAGAGTCGTACAAGTTCGTCAACAGCTATCAGATTGTCTGATACGCCAACCCAAAATGCTTCCTGAAATGTTAGTCAGCGCTCAAATAGATGGCCAGGCTGGGGTATTGGAGTTGCAAAAAGAATTGGCTTCTCTTTGCGAAAACAACTTCTATCGCTAATCGCAGCTGTGAAAGCGAATTTGCAATTGGAGTTCGATTTTCTTAACTCGCACGAAATTTTGCTGTTTAAAGTAACCGAATGAAACTGTGTATACTTCAAATAGTTTTGGAAGAAATTGTACATGAAGAAGAATTCTCAATGTTTTTTTTCAGTCAAACTGCCTTTCGAAAAGAGTCAGCTGGAAACGTTTCATTGATAACCATGATGGTAACTATCAAAAAATGTGCAGCGTGCGTGACTATACTGGGTATGGCAAAAAAATAATATAAGCCGTACTGACAAATAACACTATTATGATGTCGGTACTGACTACAATAACTCTTGGACGTGACAGCTTGTGGCGCGCTCATCGCTCTGATATAAACAAATGTTACCGGTATGATTTACTTGCTGTTGCGTAGTAATAGTTCATTTCAACCGCAATGGAGAACATGAGTAATGACACTGAGGTTTCACAATCATACCAAGTACTTGTACTTTCCACTACGATACTATTCACACTCGTATCTTGAAATCAATTTTGTTTTCCTCTTCCTCTTTTTTCACCTCGATGACAGTTTTGTCTAATTCATCAACAAATGACTTAAAGTATCAGAGAGGCAATTTGACTCGGTCGATGCATTGCAGTGCGATGACTACCAAGAACGAAGGAATTGCTTTTGATAGTATCGGTTTTGAAAATGTACCAACCATGATGTGGACCCCTTATTTCAATGATGCGATAAAGCATTTTATAGACATCGTAGAAATTCTGGCATGCAAGTCGTCTTCAAATAATTAGAAGGCATACTTGCCTTCCATCGCGAGATTAGCAACATAAGGCTCAAGGGAATCAGAAAATTTATAACAGTCTTTTTGTACAAGTCATCTGGGAGTGGAAGGCAATGTTTGGCAAATCAATTCACTGTTCGTCGGATCTATCATGAATTTCCCGATTTGGTTAATTGCGCCTTCAAAGGTAAAGTAATCTTCGCGTAATAATTCAATCTGAGCCTCCATTTTTTCAATTTTTGAATCAGGAATCTCCGAAAGATTCAAAAGAAGATCGGATACTTCTTCAATTCTGACTGTAAATGATATGCCTTTCAACAAATTTCCGTACGGAAGCCATGGTTGGTCAAGGTAGACTTGGATCGGAACAAGTCCCATTTGAAGCGTCTCAATTACATGATAGGATGTACGACCAAATCCTCTAGGACAAAGAGAAAACTTCGATTGTGCCATCACATCTCGCCATTCGGAACCCTTGTAATAGTATCGGCTTGCTTGATCTAGATGAGCAATCATTTTCTTCCTCATGTCATTGGGTGCATTGGTATCGCTTCCAACATACGACACAAGATATTTTCTTTCATTTAAGGGAACTTTCTGAATGAGCGCTTCTGGCTGTTTAAACAAGGGAACAGGGACGTGACCGTATCCACCTGCACTCAATACAGTGATATGGTACATATTTTGTATGTCATGAAAGTCAGCATTTCGGCCTACAAAACCGTCATCATTTTGATTCACTGTAATGTACATGACATCTTCTCTTAGCAACCGTTTTATGACACCCACAAGCTCTCCGGGATACTTGTATCTATTCTTTACCCATATATCAGTCCATGGTATTAAAATTGGAACGTACGGTCCAAATACGTCAGGGAGAGAATAATTATTTGATTTTAATTCTTTTTCAAAATGAGAAATCCAATGATTTTCAATCCAGGGCCCGCTGTACCCCTTGGCACGGTGAGGATTGTGGTCTGGATGTTGGATCCAACGAGCCAGACTATAGTGAATATGATGAAAATGTTCAAATGCATCTCGAGGATAAGACAAATTTGGGAGTTTAGGTTTGGTAAGACGCAGGCATTCAAGCGCTTTCCCCATCGACGGATGGTCTTTATCCATCATTAACGTTTTCTCGCCCTGGTTCCCGAACTCAACTACTGAGAAGAAGAATTTTAACTGATTGAAAGTTAGCCCGACGCTAATGGTCACGAACGCTAAAAAAGCTGTGCGATGCTTCATTTTGCTCCATTGTCAAAGAAGAACAGTTTGTATTTTCGAGGGATCGTGTGGTAAATTAATGTCAACAACCATCACTGTGCCTTACATACCGGTACGTATGGGAGCGTTGCTGTTATTTTGTGAGCAAAAAAATGCACCTCTCGTGAGTCAACAGGAGGGAGTTGCAAAATGGTGGCAGTCTCTGGAACCATGTCGATTGGTCTGCTTCGGTGGCAATGGAAGTCGAACGCACTGTATTGGGAATCAGTGTTCAATATTCAAAAATAACCTCACCCCTAATATATATTTTTTGTGCTACTAATTTGTGCTTAGTAGAGGTTATCAGATCCTTCTAGAAGTAGTAGTACTACTACTGATACTAGTAGTAGGTTTCATTCAGTTATTATTATTATTACTACTACTACTACTACTACTACTACTACTACTACTACTACTACTACTACTACTACTACTANTACTACTACTACTACTACTACTACTACTACTACTACTACTACTACTACTACTACTACTACTAGTAGTAGTAGTAGTAGTAGTAGTAGTAGTAGTAGTAGTAGTAGTAGTAGTAGTAGTAGTAGTAGTAGTAGGAGCTACTACTACTACAGATATATCTACTAGTAGAGATATATGAGCTGGAGCTAAAGCTGGAGCTAGAGCTGGAGCTAGAGCTGGAGCTGGAGCTGGAGCTGGAGCTGTATCTATTAGAGATATATCTACTAGAGATATATCTACTAAAGGTACAACTATGTGAAAAATAGAATTTGCTTGAGAAAATGAWRTKGTAGTAGTTAACCAGTAGTATATTTAGTACTGAAAGTGCAACAACTACTAGTATTACTTTTTCTGGTACTACTTCTGTTTTTCACAAAGTAGTACTACTACTATGATCTAGATCTAGGCAGATCTAGATGTTGGTGGTTGAGCTTGAGCTGGAGCATACTAGTAAATATAAATAGCATAGAAGTACATAATTATTGCTATATTAGCTAAAGGTACAACTATGTGAAAAATAGAATTTTCTTTAGAAAATGAAGTGTTAGTATCTAACCAGTAGTATATTTTAGTACTGAAAGTGCTACAACTACTAGTACTAGTATTAGTATTAATTTTTCTGGTACTTCTTCTGTTTTTCAAATAGTAGTAGTACTACTAGGATCTAGATCTAGATCTAGACTGTTGTGTTACAGCTAGCAGTACCACAGCTAGCACTACAGCTAGCACTTCAGCTAGCACTACAGCTTGCACTATGTGAAAAATAGAATTAGCTTGAGAAAATGAAATAGAAGTAGTTAACCAGTAGTAGATCTAGTACTGAAAGTACAGCAACTACTAGTACTACTATTTCTGGTACTACTTCTGTTTTTCACATAGTAGTAGTACTACTACTAGTAGTAGTAATATAATATATCAATATTAGTACTGATACTGATATATTGGTTGCTGTATTCTTTGGTGTATTGGTTGTTGTATTGCTTGGTGTATCAAAGCTAGAGCTATCGTATAGCGTGGGCCAAGTGTTTCCGACCGAAATTATCGGACATTTTTGAATACGGATATACGTACATGTATATCGATCAATATTCAACGTACGCCGTACTCCCCCACGCCATTAGAAAGCTMGTTGAATTCTCTTTTCAACCATGTGCTTATCATACTTTAGCGTCCGTTGGGCGAAAAGTTACAGCTGTTCGAGTGAGTTGAACCTCTCTTATTGCCCTACTTGTTTTTTGTACTGTGCGGGGATTTTTGGCCATCTTTTTACCGTGTAATGACTCGTGGGATTAAAAATTTGACTTGTACCAGGCCTACAGCGTGCACGTGCTCGCGAAACTATTTTGCACGTGCGAGCAAAACTATTTTGGTGGGATTCAAAAATTCGATGTACCAGTACTGAGCATGTGGATTTTGTATGTATAATTTTTAGTCAAAGTAGTCATTACACGAAAAAAGATGGCCACGAATCCCCGATATTATCGTACATCTGCTGGCCAACGCTATACGATATCTAGAACTATATCTAGAGCTACATCAATATACAGCCTAGTAGTAAGCTACAGCCTGAGCTACATTCCCAATACTACTAGTTACTGCTTGGTGTATTGGTTGTTGTAGTGCTTGGTGTATTGTTCTTGTATTGCTTGTTAGCTAGAGCTATAGTAACTAGAGGTATATCTAGAGCTATATCTAAATACAGCCTAGTAAGCTACAGCCTGAGCTACATTCTCAATACTACTTTATACTGCTTGTTGTATTGGTTGTTGTATTGTTCTTGTATTGCTTGTTGTATTGTTTGGTGTATTGCTTGGTATATCAGAGCTAAATCTAGAGCTATATCTAGAGCTATATCTAGAGCTATATCTAGATACAGCATACTATGTGAAAGACAGAAGTAATACCAGAAGAAGTAGTAGTAGTACTTCCACCAAAACTCCTTGGAGGGAAGTGCAGCYCCTCAGAGCAGCTAGAAGCATTCTTTACACCAAAAGCTATGGTTTCTTGGTATCAGTGAGCCTCCGTATCAGGAGCTTCAGTATCAGTGGCTCCTCCGTATCTGCATCCTCCGTATCACCAGCTCATATCAGTGACTTGTATCAGTGACTCATATCAGGGGCATATCAGCAGCTTGTATCAGAGCCTCTGTATAACCAGCTACTAGCCTCCATATGCAGCAAGCCTCCGTATCAGTATCTCAGTATCAGTGTCTGTATCAGCATCCTACTACTGCTACGTATCAGCAAATTTTATCCCTATCAGCATCCTCAGTAGCAGCATCCTCCACATCAGCATCTCTGTATTTGTGAGTCTCCATATCAGCATCCTCCATATCAGCGAGCGTCCTTTGTATCAGTGAGCCTCTGTATCAATGAGCGTCCTCCGTATCAGTGAGCATCCTCCATATCAGCGACCTGTATCAGCAGACACTGTATCAGGGAGCCTCTGTATCAGCATCCTCAGTACCAGCAGCCTCTGTATCAGCATCTTCTGTATCAGCATCATCCTCCATATCAGCAAGCATTCTCCATATCAGCAACTCATCCGTATTAGTATAATCCTCCATATCAGCAACTCGTCCATATCAGCAAGCGTCCTCTGTATGAGCAAGCCTCGTAACAGCATCCTCCTTATCAGCAAGCGTCCTCTGTATCAGTGAGCCTCTGTATCCTCTGTATCATATCAGTGAGTCTCCGTATCAGCGGGYGTCCTCTGTATCTGTTAGCAGCGTCCGTATCAGCATCCTCTGTAACAGCAATATCAGCGTCCGTATCACCATCCTCTCCTGTAACAGC